GAAGGTTTCAGCATAGAATAAGGGTAGAACAAGGTACATAATGTCTCTTCCATAGCAGTTGATGTTTTTTTTTTTGTTGTTGTTGTTGGTCCCCCTTGCTAATATGAAGGAAATGTACCCAATACCGAAACTTCACTTTTCACTAGTTGTTCTTTACCGGGTAATCTTGTTAGTTTCCATATTAGCAATTTTAATAACAAACTAACAACACCCTACCCCCAAACAACACAAAAACCTCAACCATGTGGAGCTGCTGCCATAGTAACCGTACAGTAGAATTCTGTTGAAGAGTACTGCATTTAAGGCTTGTTATCTGTGCCACTATGGAAATTAGAAGAGTTGGGTGATGGAAGGATCTCTCATTCCTTTCAAAGACATCCTGTTCACTGTGTGCTTTAGAAGTCTCCCATTGTGCATTATTTTTGATTGGAAAAGATTCTCTCAAGAAGACAGTTTGTGCTAAAACTAAAAAAAAAAAAAAAGTTTCTTGTAAATACACTGTGGTGATGCAGTACTGTTTTAAAAATAAATCAATAGATAAATTTGGTTACTTTATTTAAGTATAGTTTCTTAAAATCTCTTAACTACCAAAAAAAAAAAAAATCACTCTTACATTCTAACCAATTTATACATATAATTTATTGAGATTTTTTGAATTTTTTTCCCAACATATTCACTTACTTATATAGAAATATGTTTATGGGAGGTGCTGCTTTTTAAATCTGCTGTTCCTATTTGAACAGTCCAATTTCAAACACTTTGTTAGCTAGGACATGACAACTTGTAGAGTAAGTAGTTCCTTTTTCTCAAATGTATTTGAGCCTTACATTGACCAAGGATTTGTTGGACTATATCAAAATGCTTGTGTTCCAAGCCAATGCCTAGCTTCTATCTTGGGTCATCTGAATACCTAATTTTTCTTTTGGGAAGTTTATAAATTTTTTTTAATTATTTAAATTGTGGGTGGTTGTTATGTTTTTTTAGTATATCCTGAATGTCTTTAAATGGAGGAGTACTCTTCATCAGTAAACAATGTACAGTAATTTAAGGTTGTTCTGATTTGTCAGCATAATGTTCCTTCATGTAAGTTGTTAGTCGTTAAGTGGTTAATAACTCACCAGATGAACTACAGATTCTGTTTAAATTTTTAAAAAATGTGAGTACTAGAGTGTGACTGTAACAATTACCCTTCAATGTGCAACAGGGCGCTTCGAAGAAGAATTTATCAAAATGCGGATGGAGAGACTGCAAGCCTGGATGACGAGGATGTGTCGCCACCCTGTTGTCTCTGAAAGTGAAGTTTTCCAGCAATTTCTCAATTTCCGAGATGAAAAGGTAGGAAATCAAGCTCCTATGCAGAACTGAGATTGAGGAATTGCTCCCTCCCACCATCCCCCTTCAAACCGATTTCGGCTTTGTAGCCTTCTCATTTGTCTGCCCCCCTGTGGGCAGTAGTGACAAGCTGCAGACTGCTGGTTTTGCTAACTAATTTACGTGATTAATCAAAATAAGGCATAAAGTTGCTTGTGTGATATGCTGTATGCTGTTCCAACAGAGATGTGCTCTTTTAAGTAGCTGTGTTGCCAGTCTTTTAAGGACAGTTTGTGTCCTCCAGCAGAATAGAAAGGTACACAACAATGCTACCTGCTGTTACCCTGATCTGTCTCTGTGGGACTTAATGCTCACTGTGGCCCTCTGATGGGTACTGCTTTCCTAACAGAAGCTACTTTGTAGCAGATCTAGGATGCCTCTGATCCTCTATTATATATTTAAAGACAGACACCCACCTCCCTCAAAAAAATTTTCACTGGAACAGGTTGTAACAGCATTATGCTGCAGTCCTACCTAATATAACCAGCCCTTTTTTATTCTCATTTCCCTCACCAGCATTTTCTTATGCTCTTTTTCAGAGGGGTTTTAATATCTTCATGCTCAGTAAGTAATGGTTTCTTCATTACTGAGCTCCAGCTCTGTTATTAATTTGGGTATCTGCCAATGAGGAAATAAGCAGGAAAACTGTGCAACTTGCTTCTCAAAAAAAGAAGCAAACATAAATTTTTTTTCTGAAAAAGTTAAGTGATCTTTGGGGTCTTTTAACACCAGACTGGATAAGGCCTTGAATAACTAAGGTCATAGCCAACCATTTTTGAGTAGGAGGTTGGACTGAGGTAAACCCTGAGGTTACTTCCAACCAGAATTATTTGGTGATGCTTAACATAGTAAGTAGCAGTACTGGTGCTACTGGACAGCCAGGAGAGAGTTTTATAATTGTGCTTGCTAGTCAGCAGTTCTTAGTATCTAACTTGTATTGCAACATCTCTTCTGTTTATATCAATCTATGTAGAATTTTAAAATTTTAATCTGTTGCCACTAGAAGCTTAATATGGCAATAATAGTCTTGTGATCTTCTTGAGTAGCTTCTGGTGCCAGCACTATCACATGTGCAGAAACAGCAGATTAAAATTGCTCTTACACTATAATATATATATATAGTGTGCGATAATATACAAGACTGAGCTGCTGACCCCAGAATCTAGAAAACAAAATGCACGAGGAGGGGGGTGGAGGGAGTGGGAACTTAAACCTTGGCCCCACTGAAACTTTAACTTGAAAGGTTATAAATTATGGGTAGTCTAATGGTTAACTGTTCTTCTAAACATATCATTCGCTGCTTAAGTACACGCCCTTAAAGATGTGTGAACAGTGGTGGTCAAACTTTTTGTCTTTTTTGATTTTTATTTTCCTCAAGGAGTGGAAAACCGGAAAGCGGAAGGCAGAAAAAGACGAAACTGTAGGAGTCCTGATCTTTTCTACAATGGAACCAGAAGCTCCTGACTTGGATATGGTAGAAATGTAAGTTGGTTTCTTTTTACATGTATGTTATGCATCTGGATATACAACAGATTCTGGCTCTGGTGAGTCAGGGTTGCCTTGCTGTGAGAGCTGTCTCATATAGGCTTTGACTGAGTGTTTGTAAGATCTGATCTGCTTTGAATAGTTCTCACTGAATGTTAGAAAATGCATGTTTAGCTTTCTTTTGCAGAGCTCACAGAGCATGGCTGTGTATGCAGTGTTGTGTTAGTGGAGAGCCTTGATAGCTGCATGAAAACATGCTTAGAGGGGTAAAAAGGCACATACTAATTCAGAATGCTCTTCTGAGCATCACTGATTTTTTTTTTTTTCTCCACCCTATACAGCAACTGAACACAATTCTATTGTCATAATATAAAATCATAGAGATATATATTTCCCTAGAAGAACTGCTGTATTAATTTTTATTCATCTATTTTAGACTTTTATTAAAATATCCAGAACATTTATTTTCTTTATATTTGTTCATTGTTGTATGAATTTTGCAGCTTTTGTTACTCCAACATTTAATTTCCTGTCAATGTCAGGCCCTTCTGTTTATGTTAACTGCTCTATGAATCCATTTTCCTCACGTCAGATTTTGCTGTTCTGTTAGCATTTGATATCATCGGGGAGGATGTTGAGCTAGAAGCTTAGCATTTTTTTGAATGTAACTAACTACAGTAAGAATGGTAGTCAGGTACCATGTGTTTAACAGAGGGAGAAAAATAGAATGAAAAATGTCTGTATCTAAAGAGGGAAATTATGACCTCAGTGAAGTGGCAGAGATTTCAAGGAATTCATTTATTTCCCTTTTTTTTTTTTTTTTAAAACCAAGTTGAGAATAGTAGACATTTCAGTATTGCATTTAAAGTTAGCATAACACATCTGTTAAACTTCACTTTGTTTTTACTTTTTCCAAATGTCACAGAGAACAAAAATGTGATGCAGTGGGTAGGTTCACCAAAGCAATGGATGATGGAGTTAAAGAGCTGCTGACAGTAGGACAAGAGCACTGGAAGAGGTGTACAGGGCGTAAGTGTCCCTTCTGAACTCAGCAGTCACTTCTGTGTTACTTTATTTCTGTGTGGGTTGTTTCAGAGTTGTGTTGTTGTTGTTTTTGCTGTTTGTAGTTCAAGGCACATCTTAAAACTAAAGGAAATCCTAAATTATCATGAAAATTGTATGGTATTCCGGCTGCTTTCAGTGTCTGAGAATATAAATTGTGCAAGTTTTTTTTGTGGTTTTGGTTATTTTTTTTTGCTTTCTTTCTCTCATAACAGAAATATCTGGTCCCTGCCCATAGGTTTAAAAATATGAAAAGTTAAATAATTCCAGTAATCCCTCTAAAGCCCTTGTTGGACCTCTTCTCATATATTTGTCATTTATCTGCATTTTAGTGACATGGGCAAAGTAGACCTCTCTATTTGATGAAATCATAAATGACTGCTTTTTATTAACCCCTTATTTAAGATTCTTGCATGCCAGGAGGAGTGATTTAAAGATGCAATGACTTTAAAAAAAAAACAAAAACAAAAAAAAAAAAAAACCAACCAAAACCAAAAAAAAACCAGCTTGATTCTAACTTAATCTTTAGCCCAATTCTTTTTCTCCTATCTTGTCTCTTCCTTCCCACAGATATTTAGGGTTGCAGAACTTCACACCAAGTCCCTATGACTCTGCCTGGGCACTAATTTCCTAGTCCACAGCAGTGTTCAGTGTTTGTGGCCACCACAAGGCAGCTTTTGAAAGGAAGCAGGTACTACAGCTGAGGATCATATTAAGAAACACTTCAGGGCAGGCTGTAGTGTCTGGCAACCAAAGACTTATCACACAAATCTCCTCAAATCTCCTCCATTTTTTTCTTTCCTTTTTTTTCCCCTCCTCTTTTTAACTTCCACAAATACTCACATTGTCCCCAGACTTGGGAGTAAGTACATCTCCTGAGTTAAATCTTTGCCGCTTTCTAATCTCACACTGCAGCTGAGCATGTGGGGCTCACCAGAGGGAATGGGAAGCTATAGAAACCCAGTCTCTTCTGGTAGTGATGACATTAGACCACCTTCTCTGTAGGAAGTGACCTCTTAAGTTATCTATGTTTCCACACTTTGAATAAGGGGGTTTCCTTCTATGTGTCACTGACCTTCCTGCTGGTCAGAAGTAGCCTAACACAGGACACAGCTCTAGCACTGTACAGATCTCCCTTCACTGGGAAATGATACCAAGGGGGAGGCAGAAGGCAGGGGAAGGAATAAGGTCACTCAGATGAGACCAGAAAAACAGCATTGCTTTGCAGTTATAGAAGCAGTGATCAACACCACTGTAGTTAAGTCGCAGCCAGCCCTTGGGCTTACAGCAGAAATTCACTATTTTGTTCCCTGCTAAAATTTCACTAAACTTAAGACACTAGTGCGTTAGGTATTGAATGACTCTTCTAATACTTACAGCTGTTAATTAGTTAGCATAAATGCAGTAAGTCAGATGTGATTATCTTGAAAATTTTAACTTTTAGCTTTCCAGACATTCATACTGAATAGAAAAAGGAGACTGGTAAATTGAGACATGCAAAACTGAAGAATTTCAGTAGTCTCTTAGGTTTTAAGCTCCCTATCAGCTCTAGTCCCAGCTCCTAGTCAGAAGTATTTTTGGCACTTCCTGAGCAATACCATTCCATTCTATCATATTTAAAATTACTGACAGTGGAAACTTAAATGCAAGTAAGTGATAAGAAACCAAACATTCTTCACTGAAGATTCCACTGAGGATTCAGTAGGCAGTTAATGGCTGATGATGGAACTCTAGTACTCTGAGTGGTACCTGTTGCATAAGAAATACCAGTTGTCATAAATCTTAACTTCTGAGCTAGAACTTGATTGAAGATGATCAATACAATTGTGGTTTGGGTGTTCGTGGTTTTTAGTTTTGTGTTGTATTTTATTACAGAAAGGTGTTTCTCTGAAAATCAGATTGAGCAGGATGTTAGAGCAACTAAAAATCCTAGCGTTTATCTAGACTGTGTACGCTCTGAGTACAAACATGTGACAACAAAAAGCAGGTCTACTTTTTTTTTTTTCCTGCTAGCATAGGTAGCTTATAAAAACTTGCTTTTCAGATTCCTTTTTAGGCCTCTGAGGTGGTCATACTCAAAGTGTTAATGAATGCACTCATAAATCAGAGCTTATTGACTTCATTGTGAGGAAGTACTGTATGCATATATTTTCAATAAAATGATTATAAAACCCATTTTATTATTCAGATACTTGCATGAATTTTTTATACCTAGATAAGCATGATTTCTAATGCCTTTAAATACAAAATCCACGGTTTGAGGAGAGTTTAGATATAGGTCTGTGTAATAGTCTTCTCTCTTAAAATACAGAGACCTGTTCTCCATATCACTGCAGCATTTCCCCCTCAGCCCCAGGAGGATAAAGTCTGCTTATGAGGGGGAGAAAAAAAATCTCGCTGTATGCATAGTAGGACTGAGTTAGAGCTGCAGTGAGGCTTTTTTTAATAGCAGTCACATACTGTTTCTCCAAACTTGTGGCTTTCAGGAATCCAGATTGCAACTGACTTATCCAGTTTTGGAGTGTCTGTAGCAGGGGAGGGTGGGTAAGAATGTCACTGTAAATGCTTCACTAGAGGAAATGTCAAAAACAACTAGGTTTTACATCTGTCAAGTTTTGGAAATGCTGCAGATGTAGTCTCGCTTACCCTTATGGTTTTTTGCTTCCATTTCTCTTTTCCCTATTTTTTTCCCCCTTTCAGCACTACCTAAGGAATACCAGAAGATAGGAAAAGCATTGCAGAGCTTGGCACTGGTCTTCAGCACTAGTGGATACCAAGGTACTCCTGTAGCTTCATTTGTACTATACTTACAAAAGATGTATTAGTTACATCGTGCTGTGTTTTTTTGACAAAGATCTTAATGTTTTCCTCTTTGAATTCTAGATGTTAACATGATTTTGGGGGAAAAATAATTAAAAAATTGTTCCCCTTGTTACTTGTTATGGGGGTTTTATATTCTAATCTGCAATCTTGTTTTCTTTCACTTCTGGGTTTTTGGAGGTGGAGTTTAGCTTGATTTCATTAATATATAATCTGGTTACTGACCTGACTGACAAAACATGCTGTAGCAATTTTTTTTTTTTTTTGTTCTATCAAACTAAAGAGGCGAAAATGCCTTGAAAATACCTGTCACAGAACTATTGTGTGTTTTACTTCACGAAGTAACAGCTTCACATGAGAATGGAAAACTTATTACAAGATGTTTGTATATTATTATGTTGCCTGGAGGGTTAGCTACTGTAGCCTTTTCTTGTCCTTTACCTTTCCTGCTCCTTCAAGAGCCCTAAAATAGAGCCTGTTGTGTTAGGTATGAAAGCTGTGGGAGGGAACAGGAGGGCATCAGTTGCACACAGTTCTAGAATGTAGTCTTTAAGCCCAACTTAAAATCCTGCTTTAATATGTTAAGCTCTAACGATGTTTTCCAGATAAATGGAAAATAATTCCTCAATATCCCAGAGGGAGCTTACTGAGTTAATTTTCTCTGGGATTCTCTTGTCAAATGTGTGGGGGGTTGGTTGGTTGGTTGGTTTTTTTCTAAATAGCAAAATTTGCTCTGTTCTAAAACCTTAAATGTTATAGCATAAAGACTTCCTGAAATCTTTCAGTCTTGAGACTTTTAGCTGACTAGTACTTGCTCTGACTACTTATCTATCCCTTGCTTTGTACTCTTAAGGCTTTTTGCCCTTTAAACCACATACTAACATACAGCAAATTTGGAAACTTGGATTCTGTGCTGATGGAAACATCAGAAATAGACATAGTCCCTGTAGTTTGTTCTCATCTTTGTCCTGTGCTTCAGTAGGATGACTCCTTAGTTAGAACTGGAGTATAGCATACTGCCTGAAATGGTAGTTTTAGATGTGAGAACCAGGTAGGGGATTTGCATACTTACATACTCTTGGCACAGGTTAGAAGACTGTAAATCCTACCTAGCTACAGTCTGTAGCAAGGATTCTTGAGAAAGGACTGAAAATTGCTTGAACTATAATACATGTTCTCTTGCCAGGGTAAAGGGAAAAACAACATGGGTTAAAGCTAGGATGCGAAATTGCAAATCAGCCTTGTGAAGGAAAGCTTCAATTTGATTTCCAGCATCTTCAAATGGTATGAAAAAATAGATCCCAAGATGCTTGGGAAAAAGGCAAGGATGTTTCTCTTTGCTGTTTGCCCAGTTGTACCTCATTGGACCCTAGTATCTTGCTGACAAATATGCCCTTCTCACTCATGCTTTTGTCCAGATTCTATATTGTTTACTCTTTTTAACAACTGGTACAACAGTGTATTTTTTTAATTAGTTATATATGGGATTCTTTTGCTTTTTAATTTGAGTTCCCAGGAAGAGAAAGTAAGTGCAGGACACATGTTGCTTTAAATGTCTTTATTACTGCTGCCCTCACTTTGTCCTGTGTGCTGTTCATGTAGTTACCTGAATTTAAACAGATGGGATATGATTTTCCTGATCTCAATATTTAAAAGAAGGCACACTCTACTAAGCTGACTATGGGGTATAGTTTTTTTTTTTTTTCTGCACCATCAGCCTTTCAGTTAGCTGCCAGCCACAGTGTACGTTAGCAATCTCTCCCCAGTACTTGCAGAGGGAATAGTGCCTTGAAAACTACTAGGGACGCATTGAGAGGTTCGTATTTAACTTGGCCATGTGCCTATGTACTCTCTGATCAGTTTTAAGAACACATGCTTTGAAAGTATGATCCGGGTCCAAAAATGCCTGTTGGACAGTTCCGGAATGTGCCTGGAAGTGTCTTGTGGCCTGGCACTTCATCGCCCATCTCATTGCATCACACGATGCTCTTAGGTTAATGCAGACTTAAATAGCATGGCTTCTCTTCTGTGGCACCAAATGTGGGTGAGTCTCCTATATTAAGAAAATGTGAGTGGTTGTGGCATGTCATTCAGCCATAGTAAGATATCCTCCTGTGTCACCCCTCAGAAATTTTATTAAGAAGCTACATGCAAGTTTCACTACCCTACCTGCTACCTGTGTGCACATCTTGCCTTCCAAGCTGCTTGTGTGCTGAACATTATAACATAACTTACTACATGTAGTTCCCTAGTACGTCAGACTTGATCATTTTTCCTGCTCCTAGATTCTGTTAAAACGTGCTTTGAAAGAACACAAAAATACTTCTTGACAAAATTCTGCTGCCCCAGCCAGGCTTTACAGAGTGTTAGTTCCCTTGGTATGCCTGGTGTGTTCCTTTGGAGGTGATAATCACTGACATTTACCAAGCTGCTAACCTGTGAGGAGATGCTCTGCTAAATATCTCCAAAAGATTCCTCATCGTTTTAAGTTTTCCTTCATCTCCCTGTGACAACATGTAGGCCTGTAAATTTATGAAATAACAGTTTCTCCTTGTGGGTGGGTTAATCATCTCCAGAATGTTACTGGCCGTTTTAACTGGTCGTTTTACAACCACCTTTAGCTGATGCTTTTAAGCCTTCTCTCTTTCTCGGGGCATATGTAATGCACACTGCCCTGATTTGTTGCAAATGTCAGTGGTATGTGGGGGTTTCTGCTCTTCCATTGATTAAAGAACCTGGTACACGCTTGCACTGGGACCCAGCTCAGCTTTCATGGCTTGAGTTAAGAAGCCCATTCCCAGCTTCACATCACTTCGGAAGCTGAGAATGCTAGGAACTCTGTCCTGTCCAAGTAATAAAATTAGGACCAAAACCCATGCTGACAGCAGTGGTTGGGAGCAGTCTGCTAGTGGAATTCAAGTTACACTGGTGGGTGAGCATGTGGGTTGCATGCGGTATCTGACAAGGTGGCCTGGAGCGTAGGGAGTGACTGACTGGCCATGGCAAGACACTGCTGGTAACATGTGTTAGAACTTGGAGAGTGCGGCAGGTCAGAGAGGAAATCTGGCTCTTTAAGGCTGCCCAGGCACTACCTGAAATAAAAGGGATTGTAGAAGGAAAGGCTGCAGCATGACGAGCTGCCATTATTCTTCTACCATTTGTGAGCCTGTCTGCTGTTGGGATCTGCTGTCTGGAGCAACTTTTAAATATGCTCCCCTTTAGCCCTGCTTTTGCAGGAAATGTGAATGCCTTTACTAGTAGTAGAAACTTTTAATGCACCCTGTGCCTTTGACACAGTGGCCTTGTGCCCTGCTGCCCCCAAACACAAGGGAACCTGTGTTGGGAGGGTTTGTCTAGATTGTTTGAAGCTCCAATCTATGACAGTCCTTTGAGTTTGAATCAAGGGGAGGATTTTCTTGTTCTACTCAAATATACGTTCTCTTTCTCTTTTTCTGGATAGGAAATTTCATAGTCTTTTATGACATTAGGAAATCAACAGCAGCATCTTGACCAAGCTGATTTCTGACTCTAATTAAAAACACAACATGTTTTGTTCCAAAAGCTAGGAGTCAGTTGCCTGTGCAGTAGTTTTTTCAAGGTTACTTCATGAGGAATTCTGAAATAATGAAGTTATTTAAACATAAATGAAATAATTAGCCTCCCTGGGATTTTTTTTATTGTTTTACAACAATGTGAAGGTATCTTCTGAATTATGTACGCTTTAGGTCTCACAATGGGATTTCATGTTGGCTTTATTTCAGTTTTATCCAGATAGGCTCAAATAGAAGCAAAAGAACTATTTCTTTAGCAGTGCTTATGTTGCTGGACTTAGTAGTTCTTAAAATTAGTAGCTTTCCCTTAAAGCTTTTGGCTTTATGACACCAGTCTAATGGAAAGTGAGAATCAGTTGATAGAACTGAGGCAAAATTCAGTCATTGCCTTGTTTCCTTTAGGACATGCTACAATAAAGGAATCTTGTATAATAATTCTCTAATGTAGATTAGTACATATGTTGTAGTAAAGGAAGATGCTTTAATGTTCAAATTAATCGTTAACAAGATCAATTTTTTGGTAGTTTTCAATTAAGTCACTGATTGTTTTTATTCTATAGACATTAAAGTGTTCATAAAAGACTAACTGCTGCCTAATAAAGACATGTCTGAAAGGATGAGAAAAATATTTCTTTTCTTAAACTAAAATTCAGTATCTGCAAATTATACCTTCCCCTTTCTCTACCTCAATTTGCTTTCCGTACTGTTGACTACATGCTTTGGACAAGCTAACAAGGATGGAAAGAACCTGTGATGTTTTGGAAAGGCGAAGTCGTATGAAAAAAAAAATAACAAAACTCAAACCAAGAATGTAAGGCCTGTTTCCATCTTCATCCCACATAGCCATGTTGTGCTAGTAATACGGTGTTACGAGCGCTTGTGGTGGTGTCTAGCTTAGGGTGTGTGGTGGTGTCTGTATTTTTAAGTGTAGTTTGTGGGGCCCTTTGACCTGTTTCATATGATGATGAAAGCTAGAAACTCATTCTCAAAAGCAGCAATTCTTACAGAGCTTGAAAATAGTGACTCCAAAAGGTTCAGAAGTCCTGTTGGCAAGGAAAAAAGTTAATTGGGCCTTCGTCTGCTTCTCTGACTTTCTAACACTTATAGTCCAGGACTGTTGGAGAGCTTAGGGCTAGCATCCCTGCTCTGTAGGGCTTTGTGGAGAGTTTACTGCTTATCAGGTATGAAAATAATTCATTAAAAATCAGAACAGCAGGTTTTTTCAGCTTTCTTAGTTTATCTTCTAGTGTCATTCTCCCGTCCCTCCCATTCTGGTAGGCTTCCTGTTGCCCTGAACGGGGGGGAATACCTGTGTATTTAAACTACATGTAGTAATGAAATGTGGAATTGAATAGTGCTAGTACTATGGTAGAACAGTGTTTACGTGGTCCCTTTAACATCCATTTGCTACAAGACCTTTAGAGTTTTCCTTCTTTAATGGTATAAAAAACGACTAATATTTTTCTAACCTTTTTACTGCTTGTTACGAAATGATGACTAGACATTTATTATTGTAAGATAAGCTATTTTAGAAATTTGTCTTGAATTAAGGCAGGTTTCTTAGTGTAATCTGAACACTGTTTACTTTTAGGAGAATCTGATCTCAATGGAGCAATAACAGAAGCAGGAAAAACCTATGAAGAAATTGCCAGTCTTGTGGCAGATCAGGTGGGAGTATAACGCAAATGCATTGGCACAATGGGTGCAAACATATTGCCTGTGTGGATCATTTCTGACTTTTTTCTTTTTTGTTAAAATGTGACTGCGCTAGTGTTGCAGACCTGTTAAATGAAATTACTACTAGTACTTCTACATACAGTTTCATCTTACTTTACACTGTGTCAGCTTAGGGGGAGATGTGATGGGAGGTTATTTCTCTTGGGTCAGAAAGCTCACATTCTGGCTTCTAAAATAGTAAAATTATTACTTCCTCTTTAAACGGGTTTTCCTGATGTCAGTGAATTGCTGTCATTACTGATACCAAAGAATGAGGTTTAATCAAGGACAGGGTTTCTACGTTCTCCCTGCATTCCCCAAACATACAGAGGATCCAGATTTTGCTGAGTTTCATTGCCCTGACATGCAAGTGCCTGTTTCAGTAAAAAAAAAAAAAAAAAATTTTTTTTTTTCCTATTCATCCCTTCCCTTTTTCCCACTCACTGTTTTTTGGCATCATAGCTTCTTTTCTGTGATGTTGATATGCCACAGATACTTTTACTAACGCTTCTACTTTGTTTATTAGCCAAAGAAAGATCTTCACTTTTTGATGGAAACAAACCATGAATATAAGGGATTTCTTGGTTGCTTCCCTGACATCATAGGAGCTCATAAGGTATGTGAGAGGCCTTTCCTTTTAATGGTTGGGTAGTAGGAAAGATCTACAGCAACAAAAGCTCCATCAACACTTAAAGGTTCTGTGAAAACTGGTGTGTTGATTTTTAAAATAAAAAAATACTTAGAGGGGAGGGAAGCTAGAACTTGTCATGAGATTTGAGACTATCATGACTTTGTGCTATAGTAGGCCACTAATAGTTACATTATTTTCTTCCAGTTAACTTCGTATCTCCATATGGTGAATAGCAGTAGTATAAGTTTGTAGTATCTGAGTCTTAGATATGGTAGTTGATACGAAACTGTACCAGTATTGTAGGAAAAATTGTATATGCTTACATGGCTAGTTTACTGATATCTGATAAATAATCACACACTACCTAGAAGTTTCTTAATATTAAAAAATAGAGAATAGGGCTAATTTTTTTTATTTTTGGGGGGGGGGAAAGGGAGGGAGGAAGGGAAACAACAAAATGGCAACAAAACCCATCCACTTTATTTTCTGTAATATGAAAACCTTCAAATAATAGAACTAATTCTGGACATTCTGCTTTTTAAAATTTTGTCCCAGAGCTTTCCTTATTTGTTTGCCTGCTATAACATATAGCAGGAAACTAAAAATTCTGAAGTATTGAACAAGCATACAAGGGGTGGGATGGGGTTGGGTTTGTGTGGTTTTTTGGTGTTTGTTTTTTTTTTTAACCACTTGAAGTGTTAAATGTATAAAACAAGAATATACTTCTGAGAGCAACAAAGATAAAACCATACCAGATTTGTGTATTCTTTCTTCAGGACACTTAGAGTCCCATATCCCACAGAATCCTTGGGGAAAAATACCATAAAAGGAGAAGAAATGTTTTTAAAACTTGAAACATAAGCCTACTGCCAAGACATGTGTAAATAGATCCTCTTGAATGTTGTTTGGCACAAACAGATTGTGAGAGTGGAGGCATTTCTTTTTATGTTTTGTTTGTGACAAGGATTTTCCTGAATCAAAAGTTACACATTGCAGTGAGTTGTTTCTTGGAAAATACTATGTGATCTTATCTTGTATAATGTGTAAAGAAGCAAGCATTTACTAGTTCGAGGCTTTTGGATGTCTGTTGTGTTGGTCAGCTGTATTTTGAAATTGGTAAAGGCAGTAATACCCAAGGATATATACAGAAAGGGCAAAAGGACCCAAACTCTGTTTCCTAGTGACTGTGTTCATGCCTGTGTTTGAAGGCACTTTTGCAAGCTGCTAGGACTCTTGAGAGCAAGAGTGTGAAATGACAAACTTTGGGTGAAAATGTAGGAGGGCAGAATTGGTCATTGTACATGTATATACATATGTATATAGTGTGCAAGCTCAAAATGTGGCCAGTGGCAGTTTATATGACTATTATAAAGACCTTTTAAATTGACTGCTCTTGTAATCTACTCTCTTAATCTTTCTGCATTTGGTTTCAACAGGGAGCAATAGAAAGAGTGAAGGAAAGTGATAAATTAGTTGCAACCAGTAAAATAACGCCACAAGACAAACAGAACATGGTGAAACGTGTGAGCACCATGGCTTATGCACTACAAGGTAAACCACATTTTGGGTTAAATGGAAATGTAGTGGACCTATGAAGGCCATCTTTTAAGTAACAAACTTTGAAAGAGAATCTTAGGTCCAGCAAGAATGATAGTAAGAGCTAAGTATGGGGGGTTTTGGTTTTGTTTTGTGTTGGCTTTTTTGTGACCTGCTTTAGATTTTCTTAAAGTTGCACTTATTTTGCACATTCTTTTCTTTCAAATCTCGTATTGCTATTGCAAAAGAGACATGTTTTGGAAATGTAGTTTAAAAAAAATAGTAATAAAACCCACAAATGACCTCAAAAATCCCCACCCAACTAACAGCAACCACCCCAAACTGATTCTTTCATTTTGAAGTGATGATGTCTTAAAGAAAAAGCATGGACCTTGGTGCAGGAAGCAGTCTATCAGGTGCAGAAGTGTTTTTCTGACTCATGGCTTGGTCAGACATGATCCAGTTGAGGTTCATGTTCTTGTGGATAAGATTTATTTTTTTTTATGTTCTTTGAATCAATTTTTTCTCTTTAGGTTAAAGATGTTGTAAATTTAAGGTGTTGCACACTGCACATGAAAAACTGGGGAAGTGAGGCATCAGGGCTCAGTCCTGCAGGGTGTCAAGCCCTTAAGTGCATCCTGTTACTGGCTTCAGTTGGACTCTACTCATTGCTGAGGGAGTTACAATTTTTTTAGCTGACCTAAAGCCAAGAGTACTCACTACTTTTCAGGATAAAGTCAGAGTGGCATACAAAACTAATTTTTAAAAACAAGCAAGAAAACTCCCCACCTTCTTGGCCACAGTGACGCAGGAGGATTGTGCTGTGTAAGTGGTAGTCATGGAAGAGACCTCCAGGATGACTTTTACAGTCTAGAATATTTCTTCTCCCTCTATTGGTATCTCAAAATATATCTAACTTTTTATTGTAGCCATAAGCTGTGATCAAGAGATGCAGAAAGTGGTTAAAGGTGTTATGAATTCAGTAATACTGTTTCTTAGGTTTCTGCTAAAACAGCCTCAGTCAAAAGGAAGAAGTTCTTCACCATGAGAGTGGTGAGACCCTGGAATGGGTTGCGCAGGGAGGTGGTTGAGGCCCCATCCCGGGGGCTCTTTAAGGCCAGGCTGGATGAGGCTCTAGACAGCCTGATCTAGTGGGAGGTGTCCCTGCTCATGGCAGAGGGGTTGGAACTGAGTGATCCTTGTGGTCCCTTCCAACCCTGACAGATTCTGATTCTGTTTTAGCAGAGGACTTAGTAGTGTTGGCTTAATGGTTGGACTTGATGATCTTGGAGGTCTCTTCCAACCTAAAGGATTCTATGATTCTAAAAATAGGTGAAGCACTACTGGCTGTATCTTCTTTTCGAGCTAAGTATTTACAGCTGTGGCTTCCAACTTGGTATCTATAAACCTTGGAAATACGAGGCTTATAGCCAAATTCTCCTGGAAAATACTTCAGGAAAGAGCAGTTACCTCAGTAGGAGAATATCCTGCTCGTATTGTTGATGAAATCCTTGTACACCTGAGTATGGTAACAGAGCCTGGCGTTACCCGGGAAGCGGCTGGACTTTAGCAGCGACGCTCTGGCAGCTTTAGGCGCAGTTCCCCCGCAGGGCGAGTGCCACAGGCAGAGCAGGCCCTGGGGGCACGGGAACCGCGGCTGTGCAGTAATTCAGCTGAACTGAGTCAAACCCTTCCTAATGACAAACACTTCTCTTAAATAATTTGCCTCCTGGGTCTAATTGCAGCCGAGATGAATCACTTCCACAGTAACCGGATTTATGACTACAACAGCGTCATTCGTCTGTATCTGGAGCAGCAGGCACAGTTCTATGAAACGGTGAGGTGCAGCGTTTCACTGTTGCTTTCCTGGCACGTTCTGTGCTGCTGCTTCTGCAAGAAACACTCACAGGACTTAATCATCTTTTTGTATGAGATGCAGAGAGCAGATATTTGAAGAATGTAAGAAAAATGTTTAAAAACCCAAAGAATGAGTTGAAGTAATACTTTCCTATAGATGCTATCCAACGTACATGACTAGGTAACATGAGAGTTAAAAAAACAGTATTGAGAAACATTGTTGACAGCTTGATATCCCCCCCTAAAAATGGCAGCAGTAAGATTACAAAGCTGCAGTGAATAAATCAATAAGTCGTTTGAATGAAACAGCCCTTAGGATGGGAGGACGAAGGGACGAAGGGAAGCTTCTGTGATTTAAATCCTGGTGTGTATATATAGTGTGGGGCAGGAGGATCCAGAGTGGGTCAGGTGCCTTACTAAATATGTTAACTCTGAACACTTGACCTACAGCCTTAATTGCCATTTAACATAGTTCTTATGCATGTTTTCTATGTGGGTTTTTAAAATTAAACCAAATAATAAACTTTGTAATGTCAATACACTAGTAAGACATGACAGTTTGAGTGTCCTGGAACTTTGCTTCTGTCTCTTAAAGGAGTAATGCAAGCAATTGGCTGCCCTTCACAGCAGTAAAAGGTGCCAGTGGGGCTTCAGAGGTATCTTCAGTGGATGAGAATTTCAGGTCCCCCATGAGGTCACTTTGCTTGGTTTCTCTAATACATCTGGTGGGGTCAGGCATAGGTTTCCCCTTACCGTCTTTCAGTCTCTTGTCCAGTCTATCCCAGTTCTTCTGGTTGCAGCCAGACTAGCCTCCTTGTACCAATTCTCTCTCAAAATCCATGTTTATATGGTGGGTGCTGGCTACCATGAGAGCTGTGGGGAGAGCACAGGAGCTCTGGTCTGATGTGTGCCCTTGTTTCAGCAGGGAAGTGGATTCATGAAAATTCTGCCTTTGTTCCTCTAGCCCTCCTGCGCAGTGCAGTACTAGATAACCTAACATGATGGCCCTGCCTACTATACTTTCTCCAACACAACCTGAGTGGTGAAAGCCCAGAATGAACAAGGCAGAAAGTGTATGTATGAGAACAAAAGTCTTCCTGATGGAATACTTTGAGAGTCCTACATACACAAAATCTGCAGTAAAAACTGCAATCTTTCAGTAAATGCAGGGAAAATCAGTTTAATTTCTTATCCAGCAATCATGTTTCTGCAAAGTGACTGTATGTTAAGTGTGTTCTGTTTCTCTGTTTCAGATTGCACAGAAGCTGAGGCAGGCACTCAGCCGCTTTCCTGTCATGTAGAGAACTGGGAGAAGTCAACAACACAGAACAACTCCGAAGTGCTTTTCTGATTTGGCAGCAATGCTAATAAAAATTTGTTAGCCTTTGCCAGCCAAAAAAAAACCACCAAAAAAACCGCCCGACAACAACAAAAATCAGTTGTAGAAGGAAGGAATTATTTAAAATCTTACTTTATCAGCCTAAGTCATAAGATAAGGTTCTCTTATCTTGAATGGTCTCCCATTTGTATCATTATTTAAATAAAATAGAGCTAGGTAATGCTGTCAGTTACAGTGACCGAAATTACCAAACTGAGAAGTTGCCATGGACTTGATGCAAGCTTGCGTCTATTGGATGTTCTTCCAGAAATTGTCAACATCAGAACTACAAATTTATATCTTTAAGTGGGAAAGCAGACAAGCTTGAGAAAATTACTTTAATACTCGCTATATTCAATTCAGTTCTCTGGCAGTTCTGTAGACAGGAGAAATTATATTCATGTATGTCTCCAGTACAAGTTTGTGATAATCTCCTGAATGAACACTTTGTTCTAAAGTCTTGCTTCCCATATGCAGCCATGGCATACTGCTCCCATTATGACTTCTGATAAATACCATTCATTCTTCCTTTTTTTTTTTGTCTCCTTTTAACTAAATCTTGTACTTGTGGCACAACACCTCAGAGCTTATGGCAGGCTCTTTCTTTCTTGCTAAGCACTGTGTAAGAAGACAATGTACAAACAAGGAGTGAGCCATTCAGGAAGGTGGGAAAAAGTTTTCCATACCAGCACTTTGATATCCCCCCCAGTTTTATGCCATAAGACACTGGTGTTCCTCGGTGCTGTACAGGGCCAGCTTTGCTTTCACCCCTCAGAATTTGAAGTGTTTCAGCAGAGGGGACACTGCCATATCTAACCCAAACTAGATGGTGTCCCCAGATTCCAGCCAAGCTCAGGTCTTCATGTATTAGTATGTTACACTATTGGCTTGGGTTAATATTTTGTTACCTTTTAATGCAAACTAAAAGGTGATAAAAGTACTGAATAACATCATTAGTTATCTCACAAACTGTGTTTTGATCATAATCTCCTATCAAGCTTCAGTGTCCACTTTCACACTACTGAAATAGCGTTTAAGGCATGGGCTTCTCAAATAAAAAAAGCCACCTCCAAGCCTGTTGACAATGGACAGCAACTACAGTAATTTGTTTCATGCCATCATCAAGCAAGAAAGCCAAAATGCAGTTTTTGCTAGAATGTGTCTAGAAAATAAACATTTTAGCAAAAAAAAAAAAAGATATTTTTTTTTAAAAAAAGGCATTTTACCAATAAGCCATTCTAAGTGATGGGTACAGTCTGCTGGTTGAATAGTTGCCTTGCTCTGTTTTGCATTGGCATTAACTTCTGTGTGCTAGAAGGAAAATCTGGGTCTGTCTGAATAACCTGAAACCAAACCAAACGAGACTAAGCCTAAGTCTAGATGCTTTTCAGTGTCACGGGTTTTGTTCACGTTTTATAAACCTTGTCTTTTTCTCCTCCCAATTTTAGTTGTTTGCTTCTAAAATTCCATAGTGCAGTGTTGTTTGATACAGCCGTTTAAATATGTACAAATTGTAAAGAATGTGTATAAATGTTTTACACCAAATGTAAGATCCGCTTGCATGTAGAAGCAGCTTATATAATAAATTGTTACAATGTGTACAGTAAATTCTGAAATCACTTTTTCAAGCCAGCATTTTTTTAGCATTTGTATATTCACTTTTTGGTAATGAAATCTTTGTAACAGACTCTTAATTTGGGAGGGGGAAGGGGAGGGGTCTTTTTACCAATCTTTAAATAGCTTTGTATGCACTGAAGCTGAAGGTTCTCTATCTTGAAGGGATTGTTTTGGAATTTAAATGTAAGCTGTATGTTCCCAGTGCAGGGAAGCTATGACGGTAGCAACTATGTCAGAGATGCAATGTTTTGACAAAAAAGAAACTGTTTGAAGACTTCTAGTAAAATGAAGTTAAAATGATAATAAATATTTATGTATATCCACCAGACTATTTTTTTTTTTTTTTTTTTTTAATTTCAAATCATCATGTTGCTTTTCAACAGGGTGGTGCAGCATAAGGTGCACCTTCCCTATAGGCACTTACATCATTTTATACACCCTGGCCAGCTGAATGTGAAATCAGAAAGCATCCATGTGTCTCCCAAAAATCAGGCGTCACAACTGAACGGTATAATGGTGCCAGTGACTGCAAACCAGCACAGGCTACGCCTACATTGTAAGCTCTCATTATTCAGGTCAGTCCAGCTCGTGGTTGATGGAATCCTCCTGACTGCAAATAAGTAGTAGAGTACAGTGCTACTGTGTGTTCCTGGCTTTGTGTCGGCGTGGTGTTGACCCAGAATAGAAATTAGATTGTTTTTGGTGTTTGTTTTTTTAAATGGGACATGAATAGCGGCATAGTTAGGTTGGGTGAGTTGGGAGCAACAGAAAATCTGCACGCTGAAGATGCAGTCATAGAACAAGACTAACAAGTTAGAGTAAGACTTGAGCAGTGCCCTCCTGAATTTCATTTGTCATAGCTGAATGATTAATCTCTGGAGCACCAAAAAACCTTTAATACTGTTTCCTGGCTTACGCTTTTCTTCAAGGGTGAGCCAAACCCTGGCGTAATCCAACTGTTTTTGTAAAAGATGCCAAATGCCCTAGCTGTTGGGTTTAACTTTATATTTTAATTGCTTATTCCATTGCTGCTAAACTAATAAATTCACTTTTTAACAATAAAAATGTAGCTATACAAAGGGGAATGCTCCCTGTACTTCTTGTCTGCAGTTAATCCCACGTGGGACTAGACTGCAGCAGTAGCAGAGTTTGTTGTTGCAATGGATTTTGTAGGATTTTGGAAGAGTACTGTATACTGCAATTAGAATGAGTATTCTTTAATTATAACTTTTGGCCTAACTTCAGAGGCCTAACTTTTCATGAGCACTGAGATTTTTACATTACTGAGAAATTTTTCTCTGACAAAGTAGTTGAGAAAGTTACTGTAACATGCACTGAATTCTATAAATTTTGATTAAATAATATATAAATCATACTGCTTCCAAAATTAGGCTTGTTTAGTGCAGCAGAATGATTCAGACTAACAGCCTTGTAAAGAGAGAAATGCATCTCTTGTGCTGTGGTTAGGGTTGACGTGCACCAGACACCCTGCCCGTCTGCCTTGGCCAAAAGTACCCCACGGCCCCAGGGTGTGCAGCCGGCCGGAGCACACAGAACGCTCCCCGGGCGGGCAGCCTCATCCTCGACCTCATCCCGCCTCTGCCTCTCGTGGTGCTTCACGCTGGGGCATGTTGAGCGTGCTCTGGGGGAAGCTGAGCTGCGTCTGGGTCTGCAGACAGTTGGTTTTTTCCACTCCACATACCTTCCGGTTTTTCTATAACTCTTCTGATAAAATTAACAGTAATAACTAATATAATAACTAACAGGAGAGAGAAGCGCTTGGAAAAACACCCCCCTTTTTTCTGTCTGAAGAATCCCTAACAAATCCAACCTCATACAATTAGAAACATAAGTCCTGCCTAGAGACAATCCATCCATCCTGTAGTGTGGCAAGATCAGTTATACCCATAGGATTTAAAGGACATTTGAGTCACAAATACACATTTTCCTGGAATCTTGGAGTTTCCAAAACATGCCAGCATAGCCATTTCCAGTAAATCAGCATGTTATCGCTCAAAAAGTTCTCCCTTACATACTTCATCACCTCTGTAAATTGTGTGTATATAAAATGCTACCTCTAAGCTTGAGTTTTTGTTGGCTAGAACAGTTAACCAACATATCTAATAATTTTTACATACTGGAAGTTTTACCTCATGTTAAGGTGTATCACCTTTCTTCCCTGGGTGCATAAAGCTGATCTGTCCCTGCTAACACACGCCAGAATGAGCACCACAGTTCTCACCCTCCCAAGAGAGTCTCTGTTGGCTCACTAGTTTATGGTATGAATGCCCTTGCTGCCTGGCTGCAGAACTGCCATGCAGTGGTCAAATACTATTTGTGGAGCTTTGTGCATCTGTCACAAATTAAACATAATTTTCAAAGTATTATACTCCGATCTGTCTGTATTTGCAACCCAGACCTAGCGGGGGATTGCACAGGTTTTTTTTTTCTTTTCTGAAACTGATATTTCAGTTATTTAATAGACTTCCAGTGTAAGTTTTCAAATCACTTCATGCCTACCTAGTAAGAACTCTATTCAGAATACATTCTCTTTAATTTCTTTTGAGATTTGAATAAGAGAAATTTGTCAAAATTATTTCTAAACTCCTCCTCTTTGCATCTCTGTACCTCCTCTTTTTAATTAATCTAATCTTCCAGTTGAAGGAGGATATTTGACTACTTAAACAGATCCTTCTCAACAAACTTGGACTAGCTCAGTTTTGCCCTTTTATTTTTTTCAGTATCTTTGCTGACACAAGTCAGTATCTTTGGGATACTGAATTTAAACTGATGTAATTTCCTTGGTTTATAAAGGTAAAAAATGTTTGCATATTTTTAATCTTCAGGGCCTTTTAATCTTTCCTAATTGGTCATGCTTCCTTAAAATACCATAATTTTTTGCCTTCCTTTAGATTCCAGCCAGTACACCTACCACCTTCCTGTTGAACTTCCTGAGCTCTAGGTTCTACTCATCTACAGAGTTAACCATTATTTGCTTCATGATAACTTCATTAGTTTCTTTCAGCTGATCCTGTCAATCTGAAGCCAGCTTTGTGTTTACTAAACACTGTTCTTCCTTTATTCTGCAGCTGTATTCCTTTGTTAAAATACATTTTTGTAAATCACATATTTTTCTGTGAGGGCTGAAACAAGGTCTGTCATACTTAGTATTTTCTGTTAACAGCAGACCTTTGCTACCTTTAGTTTTCCCCTTATACCTAACATGTTTAAAGACTATTCACTTTAAAAATTATTTGCTATTTTGTCACAGCAGACATTTATCAATTCAAGGTCACTTTTAATTCACAGTGCCTTCTGTTGCAATTAAATCTCAGTAGATCCAAATCTAAAATTGCTACTTTTCACTGCTATCTTTTATCTTCTGAAATGTCATTCCCCAAACAA